TGATATACTGTACAGATTAACATGGCTGGCATATATTGCCTTACTGTATCAGTTTACATCACGGGAGAAATTCCAGTTTGGGAGCAAAATGAAGGAGAAAAAATGTGGTTAGAATGTGGATGGGAATTTCTACTATAATTTATCTGGTTTTGCCTGTCAGTGGCTAAAATTATGATTGCAGAACACAGCAATTATCTGACCCTGAGGGCTCTTGATAGAAATGCTGGTCATATTTTGAAGGCACCAGAATACTTGTGTGCAGCTAAGAGAAATGTTGAGCCTCCTATCACTTTTGTGGGTGGATAGAAGAATCTTTTCCCTTTTCTTCCTCCTCCTTTGCATCAGCAATTGTCAAGATAAAACACACCATCCAAAATTAGTTTAATAGTAGTGATGTTGACACTGGTGGATGAGGAGAGAAAATCCGCAGCCAAAGTCTGATAGAACCCCCCCCCCTTTGTGTTTTCTCCTCAGTTCTCTCACTTCTCCACAGCCTGTGGGCTCACAGTGATGGGCACTGGGCTGTTTGGTATTTCCACTCGTACATGTGATGCGACGCTTGGAAAATACCAGGTTTTTTTTTTTAAAAAAAATCTGTAATTGGTTACTGTTTCAAACATTTTTGGAAGATATTATTTTTCTCTTCACTTGCTCTTCAGGCAGGCTTTCCCTTAGTGACTGGCTGTCTGAGAGGGGTTTTTAAATTTTTCGCTCCATAAAACGCACCAAATTTTTAGGAGAAGAAAACAGGTAAAAAATAATCTGGGAATTTCGGTCTGCTGGGCCAGCGGGGGTGAGGGTGGGCGAAGCCTCCAAAGGGTCCGAGTTTGCCTTTGAGGACCTTTTGGAGGCTCACCCAGACCCCCTGGGGCCCAGAGGGGGCTAAATCGCCACCTTCCGGCACTCTTCTGAAGCTTCCCNNNNGCCCCATTGGGGGGGGAGCCTCCCAAGGGTCCTGGAAGGCAGACTCGGACCCTTGGGAGGCTCCCCCACCCCCACCCCACGGGTCCAGTGTGGGCAAAATAGCCAGCTTTGCTCCATAAGACGCACAGACGTTCTCCCACACTTTTTTTGGGGTGTGTGTGTCTTATAGAGCAAAAAATACTGTAATATAGCACTGTTATGATGCTAACCAACAACATAATGGAATTAATTAATATTCATTATAATAACATTAATTAACAGAGGTGGCATGTCGTTGGAGCAGGCTGCCTATGTTAAATTAATTTTCAAATCAACAATGACACATTAGATTTAGCACTGGTTATAAGTTCTGTCCCAAGAGAAAGCGGTGCAGAAGTCTGTTGCTGAGCTGTTCCTTCCCCTCCTCACACTATTAATACGACTTCAGTCCCTATAGCCCATCTGGTCTACCCTTATTGATGTCTTCAGAAAATTGCCTGTCTGGTTACTGTGTGTATTTAATTGCCACCTACAACAGTTGTGTCACAAAGCTGACTCATAAAAACGTTGTTTCTTAGCTGAATGTTTCCCATACTCTTCCATGTTGAAAAAAAATTGAGGGCTAAATTCAGCTGCACCAATTTTAATGTGAATGTCCAAGTTACTTCCACATTGAAAATGTTGACAGCAGAAGGAAAAGGCCCTGCAAAACACCTGCCACTGAGGCCATGCAATACATTTTGCTTCCCTCCTAAACGTAGGGTCAGTCATAAATAAATAGAACGGTGCAGGGTAAGGAAGTGGAGTAATAATTTGAACAAAGTGCATTGCTCTGCAGACCAAGTAAGTCAATCAAGGCTTGGCTAAGTAAAACCTTTCTAACAGATTCATATCACAACATGATACTGTATGATGGGATAACAGCAATGGATTTACAGGTTTTACTCCTGCCTGATACTGTATTGATCCCTGAAATATCTAAATGCACTTGAGTCTTTTTGGTTAATAATCACATGTCACTTTATAGTGTGCTTCTTCGTATTTGCTCCAGAATACTGTGGCATAGTACAGTGGTGCCTCACAAGACGAATTTAATTCGTTCCACGGTTAATGTTGTCTTGCGAAAAATTCATCTTGCGAAAAACGTTTTCCCATAGGAATGCATTGAGATCTAATTAATGCGTTCCTATGGGCAAAAAAAGTCAAAACAAAGTCAATTTTGGTTCACAAAGGGTTTATTAAGTGCTCTTTAAAGCCATACATATTGTGCAGATGATTTAAAAAATTTCAATAAAAAACTTTAACTTTTTTAACATCATAGAAAAACATTTAAAAATCAGCAAACAAGAGGCAGGAGCAAACATTGGAAAACATTCGTCTTGCGAAGCACGGCCATAGGAACATTTGTCTTGCGAATCATCAACCCCTTTGCCAAAACCATTTGTCTTGTGAGTTTTTTGTCCTGCGAGGCATTTGTCTTGCAAGGCACCACTGTAAATCATTATTTTTCCAGGTAGATTATAGATTTACTATGCCACAATATTACATCATAGTCAAGAGGTTAAAAATAGCTGCTTCTGGTGATCCTTTGGTTTATTCCACATGGTCTATGAGTAACAAAGTAGTGGCAGAGGAGTGCCTGCTTTCTGACTCCCTAATGTGTTCATGGGTCCTCTTGTGAATTCTCGAACATGGCTTGTGAATATACAGCTATATTCATATGCTGGATCAGATTATTTATTCATAGAGTGGGGGATTACACTCTACCTTTCTACAACAAGATTCTGTCCCAGTTCTTTTAATGGCAGATGTCCGACCTTCTGTGGACTTCTATGTACCTAGAGAGGTTTGGTCTAAATGAAGGTACCTGAAACCTTTGTAGTTCCAGATTAGTGAAGTAAAGACTCCTACAGAGGAGAGATGGGCCTAGGGCTTGACATTGCTATTAAATGTTGTTCCCGGATCTGTTGGTTGGTTGGTTGGTGTGTGCGTGCATGTGCGCGTGCGTCTCTGTCTGTCTGTCTGTCTGTCTGTCTGTGCGTCTCTGTCTGTCTGTCTGTCTTTCTTTCTGTCTCTCTTTCTCTCTCTCTCTCTCTCTGTGTCTCTCTGTGTGTGTCTGTGTGGTCCATGTTATAATTTCTGTCTGATTGGGATCCAAACATGCATTTATCAATTTGAAAACACAGCCGTTAGGTTACTACAGGGTGCGGGCAGAATAAGCATATTGCTGTTGTTTCAGGACAGGTAAAACCAGTTGAGCTTTCTCTCCGGGTTTGTGCAAACTCGAGGCTGTGGTTTCCTTTGTGTAGTCAATTAATCTCCTCTTTGGTCTTCCTCTGTTCTTGAAGAACCCCTCCCACAAATCTTACTGCTCTTTGCTCTTTAACATTGGTATCCTTGTTCCCTCCCACTTGGAAATAGACATATAACTGGCCATCAGTTATTTACGGGTAGTGATTAAAGGGCTGCACTGCAGCCAAAACTGTGCTGACAACCAGAGTTCAATCCAAGGTAGCCGGCTCAAGGTTGACTCAGCCTTCTGAGGTTGGTAAAATGAGTGCCCACCTCGCTGGGGGGGAGTGGCTATGTGTGGCTTGCATAATTAACTTTTAAACTACCCAGAGAGTGCTTTAAGTGCTATGGGGTGGTGTATAAGCAGCACACTTTCCTCCCCCCCCCCCAATTCACTCTTCCTCTTTTCTCTAGTGGTACAATGCCTGTGCAAGGAAACTTTGCTGATGCATCATCTTCAAATTTTCCTGTTGTAGTTTGGACAACATCTGCTTCATATACATGGACTAAGATAAACACAGAGTTCTTAATCTTCAACATGCAGGATCTGGATTTGCTGCCATATTAAGTGTGCAAAGCCCATTCAGTATACAAATGCACCAGAGAGGGAAATCAAGGCTGTTGTAAAACCACTAGCAGCTGCAAAGTGGATTATTAGCATTGCATGGACTGAAGACATTCTCTTGGCTCTTATAGAAAAAGTGTCAGCATAATAAAAAGATGGAACAAACAGAATTCCACAGCATGATAGAAAGAAGGTCACACCCTTTGGTGACTCTCCTAGCTTCTTTTAGAAAGAAAGCATTGTTGAGATGGGTGGAGAAAAGGCTAAATAAATATTTCTCATGCACACACTTCTATAAACAGCAACCACAGATAACTTGGATAGCTAGAAATCAACCCAATTGCCGGGCAGAGGCTGACCACTCCTTTTCTTAGCATTTACACAAAATGAGGGAGAAATATGAAGGTACAAGAAGAGAAATTGCAGATTCCAGATGAGAGATTCTTAAAGGAAACCAAATATGAAAATGTTGATCGTCTTACAAGAACCGGTAAACAAGAGGATCTGTGGAACAGTTTTAATTTTTCTTTCAGATGAATTGGTGAAAAGTGTTGTTAAATATAAAATGATCACGCCTATAGAAGGGTAAAACCCCTCTATCATTCCTCTATTTGTTGGTGATGACGGATGACTTCATGGGGGCCGATTAAGATATGCCGAGGCTAGCTATCACCTTTAGAAGGCCACACACCATCCCCCCAACAATTACGTAAAACTTTACACTTAGTTAAAAAAAATCTTTAGTACTCGTTTATAATTTGAAGCCCTAAACTGTCACTCACTTAGAATGTATATAAATCTGGTGCCAGGTCTGTGGGCAGGGAGCATGTTGGCAATGGATGTTAAACATTTGTAAGGATTTCCTGAAAGCAAGAGCTTTTGACGGTGGAAATCAACTACTTCATAAAGTACTGGACTCATCTCTGTTAAAGACGGGTTGGATAGCTGTCTGTCTGGGAATGAGTTAGCTGTGCATCCTTTGCACTGAGTGGGTTGGCTAGATGACCTCTAGGGCATTTTCCAGCTCTACAATTCTATGATTCTATGGAGCCAGATTCCATGGCTCTCTTCACAAATTCTTGGAACACTTCATTGGTGGTGGGGTCATCTGGTATGCTTTAAAACATTACAGAAAGAAGCAGGACAAAAGTGCCCCTCAAGTCCAGTAAATTGACCAACTGAAGGGGAATAAATAATCATAAGTGCATGTGTGTTTAAAATAAATACAGAAAGATATTTCCAAGTTTGTAGACATTTTAAAAATTGCTCTTTCAGTACACACCTTCAATTCCATACTGCTAGAAAATCAGGTTTTAGCAGACAGGGTTGCATGAGGTAATGACAACTGATGTGTTAAAAAATGTGAAAAAAATCACAACCCAGGAAAATGTCATAATTCAAAAGGCAGTTTACAAATAATTTTTCTGCATTTTCTCAAACTTGCAAAAATCCCTGTAGACTAGATTGTTTTATATGAAGCCCTGATTAGTACTAGATTTAGCAAACAAACAAACAAACAAACCCCAACACCCCTCCCCCCAAAAAACATACCAAAATAAGCAAAAAGAATTCAACATTAAGTCCCAAATCCAGTCTTCTTTGGCTATTAATTTATCATATAAAAAAGTAGGACATTGATGTATATTATTGTCCAAAACTGGGCAGAATTCCAGTAAAATGTGTGAAATGCTCACCAGTGTCAGATTTTGTACTAAAATTGCTTACTATATCGTCTTGACATTTACAAACAAGTCCTGAATTCAGGAAGGTAAAGAAGCAGTGGTGTAAGGCAGATAATATGAAGGGAGAACACTTTTTTCCTGGTCATCTGTTAAAAATATTTAAAACTGCTATCACTTTGAGGATGCTGGACAGTTCTTGCTGGTGAATCAATCTTGTTAAATATGGCAGCGTTAATCTCCATAGACTGTCACCACGTCTCTAAGTTTCTTGTAGGCTGTTTTAGTCTTTTAGTGAATTGTAGGCTCTTAATGTCCGATTATTGATGAAATCTGTCTTCTTGTAGTTAGCCTTTCAAATAAAACACAGTAAAATATAAAAGAGATTAAACTATAATTGAGAACAACGCTGGAACAGTTAGTCATCAAGCATATTTTAGGGTTGAAATCCATATCCTGCTGAAGATTCGGGTGGGGGGTAGACAGATAGATTTCTTTCTAACCATCTATCAGTCTGTTTATTTTATCTATCTTATTTATCTAGCTCTTTTTCTGCTTAGGTGCATGATGCAGCATTCAAGGAATGTGCAACTTGATGTAACCAAGGAGGTTCTGGATCAGGGCTGAACAATCTCAGTGATCAAGAGGTTGCATAGTCACTCCTTAAACACACTGGTGGATGCGCCCCCTTCTACACTCTATCAAAGCTATTACAGCAACAAACAATTGTTCCAGTGTGGCTTTTTTTAAACAGATGTAACCATGTGTGGAGAAAGGTATCAACAGGAACCGAGAATACTGATTCTGTTTATAAGCATATGAAGCATGCCCCTCTTTAGCGTCCACCACTATGGCAGCAGCAGGGGCCCAAAGTGTGTCTGTACAAGCTTTTTTCAACCCGACTGACACACCTGGGGCCAGGTTTGTGTCTGGCAGTCTTTGAGTGCAGGCTGCCAGACATCATTTTGCCAGGAATGCATGAAGAACCAGCCAATGGGAAAGAGTCTGGCTTGGAACAGGAGGGTGGGGCCATCGCTGGCAGAGAGTGAAAAGTGGTATTTTTCTCTCTGGTCCACCCAGGAGGAATAAAAGAAGACCTGCCCCCCAATCTCTGGCAGTCTTCAACTTATCTTTGCCTGCCCACCCCTCGTATATGTCATCGTATATAACATTGTTTTGTAGTTTTTTTGGAAGGCAAATGGAGAAATTGCATATATTCTGTATCTTAGTGCTTATTTTGTTATGACTTCATTCATGACTTTATTGAGGTTTTGTGCATAGGAGTGGATCCCCAGTAACTTATAGAGGAGTTGATTCACCAAATCCCCATTGATTCAATGAGCCTACTTTAGTGCAATTTACTATCCTAAGCATCTAGATTTTGGCCACTGAATGAAGAAAGAGCATTGCCACCATATTTAGCTGTGTCATTGCTGAATGTCTCATAAAAGCAAATTTTTATTGATCGTCAAACTGCAAAGCCTTATGATCTGATGAACCTAAGATGCAGATGTCTAAAAGAAATATAGAAGGATAACCTCAACTTTATAGGCACTTGAAAAATAGCTCCTAGCTATTGTCCTGCCTTACCTTTTTGTAGGCGCTGTGGAGATCAGCGTGTGACCATAAAGAATACAGGAGAATCGAAGCAGCTCTACCAGCTTTGCTGAAGGATATAAGAAGAAGAGTTATCATAATATTTATTATTTATCAAGCTTCTCAAGTAGGTGCAGTACAATAACAAGGTAAAAGGGAACAACTCTGCCCACCGGCTTACAATCTCAAAGGACAAGGTGATTAAGACAGAGACACAACAGAAGGGGGGCGGGGAAGAGGCATGGCAGAAAGTACACATTTTTCATACTCTTGTCTAAATATTCCCTCAGAACAAAATCCTGCCTTCAGTGCATTTTTCATTGGAGAATGTGCATGTATGCAGACCTATAAGGCAGTCCTCCTTTGATGCTGCTCCCAATGCAGCAGTAAGCAGTGTCCTCAATTTTGAGCTACATACCATTTATACTTTTCCTTCTGTAGAGAGGGGGAAAAATCTCTGGGGTATCAAATATCCAGAAAAGCATATTAATTCCCCCCCCCCTCAAGTCACTGGAAACTGCTAGGCTTTAAAACACGTTCTGGATGGATTTTCTGACAAAAACAAATCCAGGGAAGCATACATGTGTCCTTTCTCCTGATGGTAAATGTACATTTGGTTTGGGACATTTTTTTTCCACAGTGAGCTACACTGGAATTTGTGGGGAGGGGAAAGCCAACAACAATATTTAAGGATTTTGTTTCTTTCTCTATTGGTGAAAGTTTGAAATACTTGTAGGGATGGAGAGGCGTGCGTGTTGGGGGGAAAAGAGGGAGGAAACAGGAGCATGAAATGCAGGAGTCACCTGAGTTTCAGCCAAGAGGAAATCTTAGAAGAATCTTAGACCTGCAGAGCTGAAAGGGACCCTACGAATCATCGAGTCCAGGCCTTGTCAAGGAGGCACAGTAGGGGACTGAACCCCCCAACCTCTGGCTCCTCAGCCAGAGACCTAAACCACTCAGCTATCCAGCATTTTAAATGATGGGAAGGGAAGCAGGAGAATGAGACAGAATGTGGATTTAAAAGAAGCAGCAGTCACTTGTCCTATATATAATAAAGGAATGCAAACCAGGGGAGAGACAGTAACTAAGGAGAAAGGTGTGCAAACCTTATACAGGAAAAAAGGTCAGGTTCAATCTGAGAAAAGCTGGGATGGAAAGAAGAGAATGACAGACTAAATAGTATGTTTGCAATGCAGTGAAATTAAAAGCTTAAATTTTAAAAACTGGAAATGACACAGTCCAGATACAAGTTACTGCCTCAGCAAGAATATGGATTTGCAATCCTATGAGTGAAATAGAGATAGTAATTATGTCATGCAACTGTAATGAGAAACAGTAAGAAAGCAACATAAGGTTCACGTGTGTAGGACAATGTTGAAAGGTCTTTGTTTTGCATGTGAAACTACTGATTGCTGTAAACTGCACACGAACACCATCCCAAGCAATTTGTTGCTTAGAATGAAACATTGTAAGTCTCTTCAGACAAGGCATTTCTCTGGTGTTGCTGGGATAGAAGAGTGGAATTGCAAGACCAGAGTCTAATGCTAGGATCCCTTGGAACTTACACCTTTTCGAGTACAATGGCTCACCTCTCACTTGAGCTGATATTCATAACCTTGGAGAGGCCATCAGAGTTCAGGAGGAGCCGAGCATTCTGGGAGTTGCTCTGAGTTAGGTTGTATAAAGCATAGCAGGCAGAAGCAGTTGTTTCATTGGCCACATCAGATGTTTGGACAGAATCCGGAAGTATGGCGACCAAATCAGGCAAAACGTCTCTTGCTGGAAGACGAATGTGGTGTGTTTTATTCCAACTTTTCAGCATAAAGCTTTTCACCTACTGTTCTAAACTATATTCACGGAACACCATTCAGAAATTACACAGCAATTTCATTTTGATATCTCTATCTATGTCTCTATTTATGCATGTTTATAGTACTAAGAACTCATGATCCTACACTGCTATTATTTCCGTGCCAATAGTTAGTTAATGTTATTTTCATTGCAATGGATCAAGACTGTCCCATCCGTCAGTGAAAGGAGTCCTTCTATTAGAGGAAATGACTCAACCCAGGCTAGAAATGTAATTATTTGACTGATTCCACCTGTCAGCTTAAATTTATTTCTCCTAATGTTAAGGACTGCAATCTTACAAATGGTAGAATGCATCTCTGGTATTCAAATTCATTTTCTCAATGGATCAGGTTTTATAGGGTGAGTTCATATACACATTTATTAAATCTGTAGCCCTACAACATGTGCACTGGAGCAATTCTGATCATGCTGTCTTCCCAAGCTTTAAGTTAGGTATAATATTTTATTTATCTATTTATTTAAAATATTTTTACCCTGCCTGTCTCCTTAAAAATACCATTATTTGCACAGAGGCTTGAACACAAATAAGTCAACGTCTATGAAGTTCTGATGTACATGACTTGCATACTGTAAAAGCCATGTGCAGAGTATATTTATAGTACACCTTGACTATACGTTGGTATAATGACATAGGTTAGGCTTACATGTATTGAATTCTGTACATTTAGGTTCTTATGCAAATATTAAAATCAGAACATAACATGATTGGCAAGGAAGACCTGCAATGGGTGACAGATTAAGCTATGCCAGAGCAATGTAATCCATGGGATTTGAGCATTATAATTAGGTGAATGAAAACGGCCATCGTGGCCTGGGCAAACTGAGCTTTTATATAATCATAATGGAAAAACAAAAAAACCTCACACAATCCATACTCTCATATCCTGGGTTTACAGAGATAATTGCTATTTGAGCTGAAAGGTGTTTATTTAATTCAAAATGGTTGATATACTGCCATGTGCTTAGCATCCACACAACACCAGGTTAATTTTGTGTCAGGCACTGCGTATTTACCTATTTCATTTTGCAAGGAGGTGTTCCGAGATAAGTTCCTAAGCAGAGAAACTGCTGTTTTGCGGACACTTGAATTGGTCACATGTAGCATGTTTCGAATACTTGGGAGGCCGTTGGCTTTCTTGACGATGATGTAGGCTACGCCAAATGGCATCTGTCAGAAAACAGCCTTGGTGAATTTCAGCATAGACGAAGCATCATTTTCTTTCATACAGATTATTATTTTTGTTATTTGTTGATACAGAACTTGCTAAGGCACATCTACAACACAGGTTTTGAAGCCATCTTTCGTGCTGTTACCATGTGGGGTGGGAATTCTCTCTGCACCCGTATCAAGCTACTATGATCAGATCATGTGTGTGGGCAAACATGCCAGTTACATTGATGATAATAATAACCATCATCATTGAGTCCAGCCCCTGTCAAGGAGGCACAGTGGGGAAATGAACCTCTGGCTCTGCAGCCAGAAGCCTAAACCACTGAGCTATCCAGCATAACCATCATCATAATGTGCTGTCAAATCAATTCGACATGGCAACTCTTTTATGGGGCTTCTATGTACAGAAAACTAGAAGTGGTTTACCATTCACTTCTTCTGGAGATTGCAACTTACCCAAGGCCACAATAGACTGGCTGTACTTGCAGGAGGCACAGGGAGGATTCAGACTCCCAACCTCTGGCCCCATAGCTAGATATCTCAACCACTGATCTGTCCAGTCAGTTCATTGGTCTAAAGCCAATGTACATTTATTATGTGTCTCTAAAGAATGTAGTACAGATGTAGATAAAAGCAATTCATTTTTTTTTGCAAGCTGATTCTGTTGTAATGTATTTTGACATGGCTTGGTCTTGACTGGGCAATTCAGGCCTATCAGTTTGATAAAAGACCTGCTCCTCCTGCAGATAAGAACTGCTAGAACTGGTTAACTGATGGCAGTGCATGAAAGATGGCTACCCACATTTCTGGACTCTCTTTGGGAGTGTGGCTTTGAGGACTGAAGAAAGGAGACAAATAAATGACTTACTGGACCGCTGCCCGCTGTGAGGTTCTGCAGAGCCCCCAGCGAAGCTTCTCGGGTGTAGTTCCTTGTGCTTTTCGCTATTAAGGACAGATATATCCTTATCAGTGTGGAATGCCAGAGTGTTTCAATGCCACTGGGAACACTCTTTTCCTCAGGGAGGGGCATGTCCTGTTGCTTCTAAACAGGCAAACATAATAAACAATCAGAAATAAAGCAGTTTAAGAATGCAAGACTCAGCTCTTTGGAGCAAACCAAAAAGGGGCTCAGTTACCCTGTTATCTAGCATTGACCTTCCACTTTATAACCCTGAGACAAATGAAACTACTGACTGTCATTCTATACACTGTAAGGCATTGGAAAGCCTGGCCTTCTTGTGATCCATGTTGTGGCCACCCGACAGTTTGGGGAGTTGGACTCATAATTGTTCACATTTGCTACTGAACTACAGTTGATTGTTAGTTCTTTTTCGTAAGTATATTTGACATCCAAAGGACCCAAATCTTCTCCCCAAAACCAATTATCCTTTCATCTTCTTACATACACATCACACCATAACCTCTCTCTCCTCCTATACAAACATACAAGTGTGTGGTGTCTATAAAACATTTACTGCCATTTTGTCAATGCATCCATCGCCATGTCAAAAAGCAACCCACTAAGTCATCTTGTGTAACCTCCCTAGAAAAACACAGGGCAGTCCAATCAGCAGCATCTTCTGTTCAGCCAAGTGAACCCATCACTTGGTCATAGGAAGAACTGTGTTCCAGGGGATGACCTTAACCCTTTCTCCCTGGTCATAGTTTGGACTCTCCTGTTGGTTGTGGAGCAGAAGCTTCTAAGGAAATGGGCACTGACTTTCCAGGGATTCAGACAGAAGTCTTTTTCAGCTCTTCCCAGAGATCCTAAAGATAGAATCCATGACCATCTACACACAAGACATAAGTTCCACAACTGAACTCCAGCTCCTTCAACCCTCCGAATACCTGCTTTACTTTCCTGCTGTTTAAGCCAAAGCACCCGATGCTGTTGTTACTGGAAGGTTCATCTCTTCTTTGCATATAGATTCTTTGGGCATAACTGCTGGGGAGTTCAGACTCTAGCTGGTAGGACAGATTATGAAGAATGCACACACAGTTCTCTGTGGCCTGAAAGAATGATGAAATGTATATTATTTTGTCTGCCTAAATGGGAAGAGATGATTAAACTCCTGTAATGTACTTGAGGTTCAAGAACTTAGATGTCTAGCCTCACTGTAGAACTTTTGACAGAATGCATATGATTGCACTATTGCCTTGAGCTTCTCCAGTGGTAAATGGGGTAAAAAGCACCTTCATATGACTGATATTTCAGGTCAGGTATTTGAGTTTCTAACCAAACAAGGAGTATGGGAAGGAAAGGGTTTCTCTGAGCAATTGATTACAATGATGATTATTTTTAATATATTCTAAAAGTGTCAGATCCATTAGACTGGCCATTTTGGATCAGAACTTAAAATACTAAATTCTGAACTGAAATGTCTGTGGGTTGTTGTTGGTTTTTTGGACAGTCACACAAGTTGGATAATCCAGTCCTAATGTTTTCTTTTGGAGATAACGTCTGGTGTATGTCACCTTGCTAGCTGCTAACCAATTACTGTATCATGTGAGAGGGATGTCCCTAAAGCTCTCCTTTTATCAGCTGATTGCATGTGACCAAAGTGAAACTTGCCCAGTGAAGTTACAAAGGAATTGATTTTGGAATACAGGAAGAGAGAAATAATGCATGGATAAAGGAGCTAAATGTGTATAATTCACAAACTGTTCAAAGAAAATGTGCAAATTCACATATCAGTGTTGTTTCCTTAAATCACTATTGAGAAATTGACTATGGAATTTCACGTTGCCCATTTGGTTCTTAGATAATGAAAACAGATGCAAACAACAGGAGTACCTGTGTGTGTCATATGATTCATCACCTCTTTCCTAATACAGAGCACTTAAGACAGAACATGGAAATGCTGTCTGATGTGCTACTTCTCAAACCACATTGATTGCAATGGTGTCTTAAACTTCATCATTATGAAATTAATGATGAAGCCTGTCACTTTCCTCTTAGTGGAAGCTCAGTTTTTTTCTGATGGAAATTTGTGTTTAATTAGAATATTGTACACTGATAAGAAATTCAGTTCAGAGCCTTGTACGATGTTTTGTCTGATAATGTATTGTAACAGTTTAAAAACTTAGTTCTAGATTTTTTAAAAAACAGTAACATAATCTACCATATATCATGGCGGATTCCTTTAGCTTTGCAGCAGCTGATTCAACTGAAAAGTATCTAGAATCAGGCATAGTTTTTGAAATTCAAATATCGTCTCTTGCTATATGTTCATATAGTGCCCTTTTTAAATTAAGTCCTTCATGTACTGTATGAACATTATACATATTCATTCAATCTTTCCATCCTTTAATGATTTCATTAGGTACTGCTAATGGCAATACCTTGTGTATTCATTTTTGAAGGATATTCCAATATCTATGTGCAAATGGGGATGAAAGCAAGGCAAAGTGTTAAAAAACAGAATGGGGGGAAATATGAATTGGAGTATTCTTCCTTCTGAAGAATACTCCATTGGTAGAATAACACAAGTCCTGAAAGAGATCAGGTTCATTGACATCCTGGTAAGCCACAGTTTGGTGTAACACTGCAACACAGCCAGTGTTGGAAGTTAGTTGCAAGAAGTCCATGTTCAGCTTCCTGCTCAGCTACGATGAGTCTGTGAGATGGCCTCAGACAAGTCAGCCTAAATAATTAAATTGCCCTCATCCGAGACTCAGAAAACTCATTAAGCGGGGACCCTGTTACCTTATCATCCGGTTGGTGGTCTGCAGTAGTGCCTTGGATATAATAAACCAGGGATTCAATCAGCCCATTACATTCTCTCATCTTTTTCCTGCCTTCGGGGCCAGCAGAGCTCATGTTCCTGTTAAAAATGAATTGAAATTTAGTTACAAAAATATGCTAATTAGATTCTTAGAAACTGGTTCACACAAACCAGTTCTTTGTGTCTTTGTTTCTGCTCTTCTCCCTCCTTGGTTGAATATATATATATATATATATAAAATAAGATGTCCCTAAGTACAGAATCACTTAATGCTGCCTATGTTCAGAATCTCAGTCATTAACATTACTCAATACGCTGGGAAATTCCAAACATCTGGTTTTACAAGTAACACCCTCTGATTTCAGAGGGGCTTGCATCTTCCTTCACTAACAATAATTGAAAACTCCCCTGCCCCATTTTCATGTTGTTTGAAGTCTGGAGTGCCATAACAATCACAAGGAAGAGCCATTTCAAGGAGACTAAGCAAGTAAGATTTATGTACCAGGCAGTCAATGGTAAACTGAGTTCATAAAATAAATTCCATATATCTAGTTATTGTAAAACTTCCACTTGGCTGATGTAGTCCAGATCACCAACTGTCCGGTGAGAATTTGCCCGTATCTCAATTGATGGCACATCTTTTTGAAGCTTTATCCACTAATAGACTACTGTTTCTTTGAAAATAGGGCACACAGCATTCTACAAGTCGTTGCCACTAATAAGAACATTTAAGATTACAACCTCATACTAAACGGAGCTGCAGACGGCTTCATTTAGTTTACAGAAAGAAAGACAATGTGATACAAAGCCCCCATCTTTTCTTTATTGTAATCTGTGTTGCAATCCTATACACATGGAATAATAAATAATAATAATAATACCACTGCTGTTCTAGGCAACTTGCAGATGGCACAGAACACACACACATATAGGAATTGCTATCTGGGTAGCCCAGTGAGTTAAGTTTTTTGGCTGTGGGGCCAGGGGTTGGGAGTTGAATTTCCCACTGTTTCTCCCGAGAGAAAAGCCAGCATGTGTGGCCTTAGGCAAGCTACACATTCCCAGGACACCCTACCCAAAGGGAATGGTAAACCATTTCTGAGTATGGTTGTTGTGGGTTTTTCGGGCTCTTTGGCCGTGTTCTGAAGGTTGTTCTTCCTGACGTTTTGCCAGTCTCTGTGGCCGGCATCTTCAGATGTTCCTACTCCAGTCCCCTGAAGATACTGGCCACAGAGACTGGCGAAACATCAGGGAGAACAACCTTCAGAACACGGCCACAGAGCCCGAAAAACCCACAAGAACCATACTCAGAAATGGTTTACCATTCCCTTTGGGTAGGGTGTCCTGGGAATGTGTAGCTTGCGTAAGGCCACACATGCTGGCTTTTCTCTGGGGAGAAACAGTGGGAAATTCAACTCCCAACCCCTGGCCCTGCAGCCAAAAAACTTAACTCACTGGGCTACCCAGATAGCAATCCCTATATGTGTGTGTGTTCTGTGCCATCTGCAAGTTGCCTAGAACAGCAGTGGCCAACAGCAACTTGCAGATTGCATGCAACCCCCTCCCCTCGAAACCAACCTGCTGGCCCACTCGGGAGAAACAGTGGGAAATTCAACTCCCAACCCCTGGCCCTGCAGCCAAAAAACTTAACTCACTGGGCTACCCAGATAGCAATCCCTATATGTGTGTGTGTTCTGTGCCATCTGCAAGTTGCCTAGAACAGCAGTGGCCAACAGCAACTTGCAGATTGCATGCAACCCCCTCCCCTCGAAACCAACCTGCTGGCCCACAGCACCTCACTCTATATGGTTTTTCTGGGGGTAGGGAATTGCATTTTTAGCCACTAGTGGGGCATGAGGGTTCTTTTTCAGCCAAAATTTTTTATAAGTATGTGCGCCTTTTAAAAATAGCAAATGGAGTATATTATGGGTGAAGTGTTTTGTAAATGCAAAATCATCATTGGCGCCACTGAGATCACACATCCCAGGTCTAGGTCTTTAAGCCCTTCCTGAAATTTCAAGTCATCTTGTTGCAAATAGTGATGAGGGGGAGGGGAGGAAAATCACCTACAGCTCCAATAGGAGCTCCCATCTGCATTTACAGCACAGCTGGACTTTTTTATGCAAGGAAATGGATATGTAAATCTCCCTTCCTTGTACTCTGCAGTCTAATTAAAAGTTGTCACTCCCTGTTCTGTGTTAATTTAAAGAACACCCCAACACTGCTGAAAGAAATCTGTTTAATGCAACATGTATTTGGCTCTTAAAAGTTTTTGACCTGTCTTCATGGACACCCAAGGATAGCTCAGTGGTTTAGGCACCTTGAAGGTTCATTTCCCCCACTGCACCTGCTTGACAGGGGTTGGACGTGATGATCCATATGATCCCTTCCAGCTCTCCAGTTAGAAGATGATTAATATTATTAATTTCTTTTCTAACACAGCAGGAGGCATTTCATTTTCTTCCCCCATCGACTTCTACATGGTTATTGACATAAACAAATTCCTTCTGCTCTGTTCTGCTGAGATATCACTACACTTGAAAGAATACATTTACCTTTTGGTTAGTTGGCAAGCTTTGTTGACCATAGGGTATTCGCGATAGCCTTGCTTGTACATATTGAAATAGTTTTGTGGGTATGTAAAAGCTAAATAGAACCAGATTGATAAGGATGGCATTTCTAACACAACTGCTCGAACTGGACTAGAGAGGGGAGGATTTCCAAACTAGGTTTGTGGCTGAGATTACAGGAAACAAACATTGCTGGATATTGTACAAACATTTCTGGATCATAGTTTTGCAACCTTGCCAGTCCATGATGTGTTGTGGCTTTGCAGTGTGGAAAATTTATATTTCTATTGCCTATGTTCTAGTTCTCCAGTGGAAATGCCTTCCTAATACCTATTTGTCTCCTTTCTCGATTTCAGAAGATATTAAAAACATGAAACATCCTTTGAGGTTCCCTTGGTAAACCCTGTTCCGTTAGCCCCCTTTCCACATTCCTTTGAGAAAATAAAGCTCTAGCCACCAGCTTACAATATGTACAGGTTCCTTGATAAAAAGGTGTGGATAGTAACAAACCACCACCAAAGCACCTCAGCATTACATGGACTTCTTTTACTGTTTAATCCCAAAATCGCAAATAATAATTTGTGCCTCCACTATACAATTAATGGAGTATGGTAAGGTATTATTTTTTTTCTGCAAGGTGGTTTGGAGATTTACAATTTGCCACGGTTTAATAATACCACTACCACCAGGCAAAATGTGGGGTATGACTGTTGTTGCAAAGGCAAGGATCAATTAAAAGAGCTATGAAAAGAACCAATATGTGCTTTCTATGGTTGGTATAATAAGAAAACCTAAAAAGCTGAAGGAATAGGACATGCCGTTATTATAATTACCAGTTTGGACATTTATTATTTTCGTAGCACACATTCGAGCTCTGTCCCCTGGTGGCATCCCTTCCATGCCCTCCTAGACACTAAAGGCAAGGGGGTCTAAAGACAGAGAGCTCTGCTGTCTGTGAAACTCTTCCTGCAAGTAGGGTCCTTGGAAAATCACTGTCCCTGCTCACATGGAGAACATCCATGGAATGCACCACTTCTGCTGCCTTGCAAACAGAGCAGGAGTAATGAAAATGGGGATGAGGACAGATCTAAGATGACCCCCTCTCTACAAGAGCAGTCTACCTGGGTTGTAATGCTATGCATTTACAGTGGTGCCTCGCAAGACGATTGCTTCGCATGATGACGAATTCGGTTTACGATGAGGTTTTTGGAGCGATCTTGCGCTTCGTTTAACGATGTTTCCTATGGACGATTTTTGCTTTACAATGTTAGGGGTCTTGCCTCGCAAGACGGTTAAATTTTAGGTCCCTGTTTTTCACTTTACGATGTTTTTGACAGCTTGGTCTTGCTTCGCTATACAAGTCTTTTAATGGTCTCTGTTTTCATTAGAACGGCTGTCTTCGCTTGGGAACCGTGTTTCGCTTAACGATGTTTCCTATGGCAATTTTCACTTTACGATGACAATCCGTTCCCATTGGAACAGATTATCAGGTTTTCAATGCATTTCAATGGAAAAACGTGTTTCACAAGATGATGTTTTCGCTTAACAGCGATTTACGTGGAACGAATTAACATCGTCTTGCGAGGCACCACTGTACTACTCTTACAAATCCTATGAAGAGCCACGGCAGTGTAGTGGTTAATATGTTGGATTAAGACTAGGGGGACCCAGGCTGAAATATTCACCCACACTCACCTTGAGCAAGTATCTACCTGCATTTTACTGCTATAGGGCGCACGTATAAGCACTGTAAATAAGAGTTTATCACCAACAATTCAATATCCTGAGGCTGGGTTGGTAAATACTCTCATCCTGAACAAAAAAGGGTTGAGCATGGTGTCCTTTTAAAAAACACTTTGCTTCAGGGGATGCCTTCAAAGCCAGTCCTCAGTCTGAAGTTACCTACTGGACTTGCTGATTTCCCTTCCCTTCATGAATTTAACATACCCATCATTCTCCTCTGCAGATTTCAAAGGATTATAATAATATAATACATAGCCAAACATGCCGAAAGAGGAAGCAAAAGTGAAGTAGGCGGTACAGAGTTCTCAACCAACAGTGAAAAGTAAAATAATGACAAAATGATTACTAAATGACCTTCTGAACCATGAACAATAACATCAAAATATCCCATCAGCATTTCTGGTCTTTTGTTGATTTTTTTTAAAAAAGAAAGTTTTCTAGTTTCCTTACCCCTCCTCCTGACTCCAGCATAAAATATGAATGACCAAGGCTTGTGGCTGTGCGCGCACAACTCTGCCTCCCTCTGCATAGCTTTCCTTCTCTTTCGCGTAACCCCTTTGGTGCCGGTCATATGGAACCCAGTGCACGCATGGGCATGAAGTTGTGTGTGGGAGAGGCGGAGCCCCACCCAGAGGGGCTGAAAATTAAGAGGGTGTGTTGAATATGACAGATAGTGAATTTCAAACATATTTATAATTAAAGACTGGCATTTACTGTCATTCAGCGCTTCAGCAGATGCTATTGCATGGGCAACCCGGATTCCTTGCCCCGCCTCCCTCCTGCAGG